GAAACCTGTCCACTCGAGGTGACCTTGTTGGTATAACACTGGTGTGACTGGTGGCATAGCACTAACATCACAGCAACACGAACCCATGACAGTACAACTGGCAAATGGTAGTCATAAAAATTACAGCTTTAGAGTCTATGGGGTTATCCCACCCTGTCCTATAGGGTCACTATGTTTTCTTGGGTTTTTCATTGTTATAGATTTTCAGGTAAGCTCAATGTGAAGTAAAAACAGCCTTTGCATGACTGAAAATGTCTTTATTTTGCCCTTAACTAATAGTATGGCAGGAAACATTGGTGTCTTAATGGTAAGGAGTTGCACTGCCAATTCAAAGGCATATGGTTTTGGAGGGTTTTTTAATGAGATGTAAAAGGAACACTGAGGGTTCATTTAGGGAACTGTAAGGAAAAAAAATGAAGGAAATGTGAAACATAGAGCAAAACGATGAAGTACGGGAAAGAACATTATGAATCATCAGAGTTGTACTCAGGAGACCCAACATTTGTCCAGGAACAATTTACCAGACTGCTGCTCTAAGGGACAGATGAGAAATCTCCTCCAGTATGATTTACAGTCTCTGAAAACTCCCTGAAGGATCAGCTTTGAGTCCATTCCATATCAATGGTACTAAACAATAATATGGTTAATTCAGTTTTATGGAAATAAAACTGAACTCTTCTCCATCAACTGCTCCACATCAAAGAGCTGGACAGTGACGAAGGATGACAGAATTGACACCTTTGAGTTGTGGTTTTGGAGAGGAGCACTGAATATCCCATGATCAGCCAAAAGAACAAACAGATGTGTCCTAGAAAGGGTACAGCGAGAGTGCCCCTTGGAGGCAAGGATGATGAAGCTTTATCTTTCATACTTTGTTTGGATATATACCAAGGTGAGGCTATTCCTTAGAAAGTGACATCAATTGTAAATATGGAAGGTCAGTGAAGAAGAGGAAGGTGCCCAACAATGTGAATTGACACTGTGACTTGACTTCAGCAGTGGGCTCTAGTGTCTCCGAGATGGTGAGGAAAGAACAGGATAGGGCAGATTTCAGGTTGTTGTTCATAGGGTTGCTCAGCCGTACTCAACAGCTCCTAACAACACTCCTTCTACACATAAGCACACATAAACATCGTTAAGTATTACAGCTTCTATCACCAGTTACTTATGAGAAGTGCAATGCCACATCAATCACATTCTTTGATAATATATTTTTCTAATTTTTTAAAAAACTTAATTTTCATCGTCAGGAAAGTTTGTCCAGTTTCCTGTCCTCACTTTCTGAATTGTTATTAGATACATGTTGGATCTATGAATATAATTTTCATGGTTCTTAATGGACAAAGACTACAGACGATAGAAGAATTAATGCCTTTGAGCTGTGGTGCTGGAGGAGTATTGAATATATCATGGACTGCTAAGAGAACAAACACATTCATCCTGGAAAAGGTGTTAAATAGGCTGCTCCTTGGAGGCAAGGATTCTGAAGCCGTCTGCCATAAATTGGACATGTTGCAAGGTGGGGCCAGTCATTGGAGAGGAACATCATGCTTGGAAGGATGGAAGGATGGAAGGTCAGTGCAGGAGAGGAAGATCCTGGGTGAGATGGATTGATTTAGTGACTGGGGTAATGGGGGCAGGTGTGTCAGAGACAATGAAGTTGGCTCAAGATAGAGCAGGGTTCATAGTCTGTTGAACACAGGCTCAGTGCTGTACATAGGGTCACTATGAGTCACAAGCATTTTAACGACATTCTTTCCTTATATTTAAAAAAAAATTTCTCTGCAAAGGGAACACAGGTGCCCTAGTGGTAAGAAGCTGCATTGCTATCTCAAAGGCACACAGTTAAGTCCTGAGCTACTCCTTGGGAAGAATGGGCAATCTCCTCCCACGTAATGGACTGCCTCTGAAAATCCACTGGAGGGTCCGCTATGAGCTGGTTCCAACTTAATGGTATACAACAAAACTTACTTAGGAGTGCAATGTGTAGTACACACCACTGGGGGGATAATTTCTCTGCAATTGTTTTAATTTCCAGCTTTGTTTCTTACAATTTACACATTCAGTAACTTCTCAAAAAGGGGTTATTAGACAATGCCTCCTGAATGATTAAGGAGCTTCTTCTCTGGGTAAACCTTTACCAATTTTAGGCAGTCGTTACTTTAGGTCACTCCTAAATATTTCATGGTTAAAGTCCTAAATTACACAACCTGACATCAGCTTTCTTTAGATTATGTATGGGTGGTATAACACAAGGTAGGAAACACAAGGTGGTATAATACAGGTAGGAAAGGGGAACTGTAACTAGTTAACCAGCTAAGGGTCTATTCTAAGCCACTGCTATAATGTGCTAGAGGAGACCCAATAAACTAAGGTTAACACACACAGAAACAGAATAAATGTACTTTTAAATCTAAAAATCGGTAGAAAGAAAATCAGTAGGAAGTGAACAGGCATGTAGTCTTTGGGGGGGGGGAGGTGCACTGATATCAAGATGGCTTAAAAATCTCCTTTGCTCCAGTTTGTCACAATTCCATCAGAACCCTTTATCCTGTAAGTGCCAAGCAATTACAAAATCCAGAACATATATCGATCCTTTTAAAAGGTTCCAGAAGACTTCACCCATTCAGGTTTGGAGCATCTACTTTCTAATTCCTAAAGAGTTGCTGAGTAACTCAGTCCTAAAGAAGTACTGTTCTGAATCTCATGGATCTGTCCAAGTCTTAGGTATTCCTGAAAACCACTTTCGTGAACTTGAGTTCTCAGATCCTGTATGACTAAAACTCAAGTTCTGAGATACCCATTTTCAGCAGTCTGGTCACTTTTCAGTATATTTGACTTGACTCACTTCCAACAAGCTGGTTCCAGGTCACAGTTGCTCTCCACTGTTTCTAGGCAAAAAGTCTACCTTTTGGGACTCCAATTTTCTCATCACTATAGTTTGTGCTCATATGCTAATGAAAAAGCAGCAAGGTTATACTGTATTTTTTTTAAATATTGTATTTGAGTCTTAACAAACTTCTATGGCTGTATACAGGCATAATTTAGCCTCTGAGATTTTAACTGGCATAGAAGCCAGCCAGCAAATGCATCACTACTGATAAAATAAGGCAAATATTGCAAGTTACAAGGTGATGAAATACTATTTCCTCCAAACTGAGCTAGGTGTAAGTGGTCCTTTACATTACAGCCACTGCCGGAAGTCACAGAAAAATGTATTTTAAATCACACCTTTTACACATTCTGTGCCCAAGCAGAAAATGAGATGCCCATTATTTTGAAACCCTCCTTTAGACAACTAATTAAGAGAATTAAAATTCTTTATATTGTCCAGTGCACAGGAAAAGAATTGTTAACCAAATATCTATCTAATCTTTCCTTTAGAATTTTCAATATACTAGGACTTAAACATCTTCCCCTTCGTGAAAATACAGGGGGAAAAGCACATAAAGACTCTGGAACAAACAGCAGTTCAATTATCCCATTTTTCCACAAGATATGTGTATTCTTCAGATTTCCCCAGGGAGTGGGCTTCTAAAATTTTTTCCCACTTTTTTTCAGTATTCTTAGTGTTTTCATGTAGCTCATATGGAGAAGATGGCTGGAGTATGAACCTGACCCAGACGGAGGTTATCTCTAATGGTTTAGTACACGGCCCCCCATAAAAATGCAGCACGGAATGGGGTGAGTGGCAGGAAGGGTGCCTTTTTAGCTACTCCATCCATTTTTAAGTCTCTCAAATGATGTTCCAGTAAGCCAGTATAAGGCTTTATGTTCCACAAATGCACTTTTCCCAGTCATGATTTATAAATTCAATCATTATACTCATGATGGGAAACCCGTTGGTGTTTAATTTTGATATTCTAAAACTGTACAACTGCTTTGACATCCTTTCCCCACTCATATAGTTTCTTAAAATGACAGAAAAAAAAAGCCAACAAATAAGAAGTTCAATGGGTTTAATAAATTTGCCCCATCAGTTCCTATTTGCAGCACCCAATATTCCTTTGAAGACAGGCCCAGCAATGGCCAACAGTAAACTGAGACTTCCAGAACCTCAGACCATCTCTGAGCATTTGGTGTCTCAGTGGCACTTGTCCGGACTTGCTAACTCTCTGTAGTTGGGATACTTTATGTACCAGTGAAGAAAGTCTTTGCCCTTCACGGGAAAGAAAGAAAATCACACCTCAAAGCCCAAATGATGTGGCTGAGAGGTGTTTCCTCTTGTTGCATCTCATCTCTTCAGATCCTTTTTTTGCAGTGGAACAAGACCAAAACCTCACCTGAGTTACAGAAAACAAGACAGTGATGGCTATTAAGGGGCGTGACCAGGAGTGACTGAGATCCTCCTTTACTAGCCACATCCAATGTATGTGCTTCACAGAACCAAAGGAACATAACAAATTCACAAATTACAACAACTAGATTTACAAAACACATTCATCCAAGAGTCGAAGGCAGGAAGGAAGGTGGGATGATAAATGGCACAGGGAGAAAGAGTATTTAAATCAGTCCAGGCCCCGGGTCCAGCAAATGCTATATAATAGCCACAGAAAAACCTGCAGTCCATT